GGAATTATCCTGTCTACAGTGGGTTGGGTCTTTCTATATCAATTAATAGTCAAGACAATCCCTCACAGACAAGCCTACAAGTCAACATGATCTAGAAAATCCCTCACTGAGGCTCTCTTCCCCGTATAACCTGAGGTAGTGTCAAATGAACAATAAACAGTATCCAGCACTGGGACCATCTCAAACTCACAGCTTTGCTTGGTTTCTCACAGCTCTGGGGGAATGTGGTATCCAAGACAACGGTGTTGACAGACATTCTCCAGTGATGTCACTTTCTGTTCCGCAGATGGCTATGTTATTGATCTATCCTCATTTGAGGCAGGAGGGAGAAAAGAGTGAGATGTCATCATGTTCTCTCTCTCTCTCCCTCCCCCCCCTCTCTTCCTACTTCTCTCCTCATGTCCTTCTCTTCTCCTGTTACAAAGGTCCTAATCACACTATACTTCATAATTAAGTTATCTTCCAAAGACCTCACCTCTAAATACAAACACATTGGGAATACTGGGATGTATGGATGTGGGGGGGAAGGGACAATCTTTATATGAGTTTTGACGGGGAACAAACCTTCAGTTTACAACACAACCAAGCAGAATCTACTTCTATGCAAGGTTTCCAAAAGTTACGCCAACATACTACCAAAGCCTGAGTTGTACCATTCTAGAGTTTATGAACAATTTTTGTGGACACATCTCACCGATTTTCTCAGAGTGCAGGGAAGTCAACGGAGGCAGAAAGGTTCTTGTGGTTACCTAGCCTTTCCATTAGAATGGAGATCTAAATGCCTGCTGGGCATTGGGTACACTTGCAACCTGTCAAGGGGAAGGGTCTCCTCTCTCCCACTTCCTGCTGCAGGGGAGAGCAATAGTGTAGTGGAGAGGACTGCGGGGAGATGCAACGGCTTAGTGCAGTGACTGCATACATATCTTTGACCATGGTCTCAACACCACAAACAACGTGGCTGCTCCTACAAGACTAACCTATGTATGTGTATCACAGTAACGTCTATTCAACAGGTGCCGTTAAGTTAATAGCAGCTCGTTGGAAAAATAAGTCAATCAGAGTCATAAATGGACATGCCCGCTTTGGAGTCATTTTGATTTCAGAAACATTAAAATTGGAAACAGGCACATTTCTGGGTCACAGAAGTATGATGAGTACTCTGGGAGGAAAAATGCAGGTTGGAAGAGTGAGAACAGAAAGATGTGTCTGATGGGTAAGACACAGGGAGGAAGAAGCAGCTGGCTTCTCAGAGACTGGAGCTCAGCAATTGCCGTACACCCTCCACGACAGCCTATCAATCCTAATGGGCGCTGGTGTTCTGTATCCTTTAACCTGTGCTGAGAGATATGTTTCTTAATAACAAACTTCCACATGGTTGACAAGGATAACCTTCTTTCTTCATCTTTGTTTAGCAACTGATCCTAAACATTAAAAAGAAAAAAGATCTGCTGTCTTCAAATTCATACTTTGAAAATAAGAGAACAGGCTTTGTATTATATATGGATTCTTAATTATTAACATGTAATGATTCTTATCGTTGTGTGTTTGATCAACATATAAAACTGTACAAACTTATAGGGACTTACGTGACATTCGGATGCATGTATACTTGTACAATGCTCACATCAGGGTAAGTGTATCTAACTCCTTAGAAAGCCATTATTTCTTTGTGGTAAAAATATTCAAAATACTTCCCTACAGCTTTGTTGGAAGAAATACAGAGTGTGTTGTGGTTGTGTACAGTCATCTTACAGTACACAGCCCACCAGAGCTTATTTCTGCTCCCTACTTAGAACAGCACCCACTAATCTCTATCACCAAATGTGTTCTCCAAGTTTCAAGATCTTTCTGTAGAATTTGTTTAAGTAAAAGAAAAAGCCCAAACCCCCAAACCAAACAAACAAAAAACCAAAACCAAAAAACAAACCAAACCCAACAATAACAAAAGCCACTTTCCCCCCCTCCGTGTGATTCTAGACCTATCAATATTTGGAAAAGAAGACAGGTTCAGCTACATTTAATGCAACAAGTCTAGATCTGGTCTCTATTTACAAAGTCAGCAAATAGAAGGTTGCGAAAGTAATACAATTAAATACTAATACATTACTATAAATACTAATACAATACTACAGTAGCTACAGTAGAAGAATTCAATGGGAACATAATTGAGTCATTAATATCTGACAACTCTGTCTGTTTAAATAATACACAAATTCATAATAAAACATAAGCTGTATCGGATACGTATGGGAATCGTCCTAGAAATGACTGCATTGTGTTAAGCTTGGTTATTTCTCTTCACTGCAGACGATCTTAACAGGTGCTCTTACTTGCCTCAGGATGAAATTCAAGTGTGGCTCTTGAGCACTGGGGGACGCTCCCGAGCCACACTATCAAGTAGGGATAGGGATGCTCTCAGGGTATCTCTGGAGCCACAGTGTCAAGTATGACGGTGATACCCCCAGCCCCATGTCCTCTCTCACGTGACTGCAAATTTTCATGTCTTGGCCTCATTGTCATCTCGTGTCACCTCCTGGTGTAAGCTGTGGGTCATGCCCTCGAACGGAGTCACACAACCCAAGTGTGGAGTATGAAAAACTCTGGCAACAGTAAAAGGTTTCTGACTGCACAGTGACCAAATTAATGTAATATCAAACATGTGAGAAAACTGTGATGTTTCTGGCCGTGGGTGCTAGCGTTGGATCACTCAACGTCATGGCATCCTTGTCTGAACAGATAACACGGACACTTGGCACTGTATGTGATGCCCCAGGCCATGTGTTGACCAAGGGTGCTACATGACACTCCTTGACTCATAGTCTAAACTGTGGAGTGTTATGAATCTCAGTGTTTTAACTGCACATGCAAAATTTTCACTCTTACAGAAATTTGAGATGGCTTGGGCATTAAGAATACAGGTTGCTATTCCAGAGGATCTGGGCTCAATTTCAGTACACACATCAGCCCCCAATGGTCTCAGGGCTTCCAACAAAGAACAAGACTAAATATTTTCTTCTTGTTGTTCCTTAGAATATAAGTATTAGATTCATCTATCTTTAGATAGCGTTATGTTATATTTCTGATTTTTGAAAACTGCTAGTTTTTTCCTGCTGACTTGAATTGCACATCAAAAAAAAATTCACTACATGAGATTTGGCTTAGAATTACAACAGAATTTTCCAAAATTTCTCAAATGGTCCTAAACATGTTTCTGTCATTTTATGCTACATATTTATATAAAACAGCATTAAATTTCATTTACTTTCTTAGATTGAACAGAGGAGCATTTAAGGGTGTTTGTATGTTTAAGGGGCACAGGAATGCTGGGCTAGAAAGGGTGTGTTCTTTCTTGTCGATTGGGTGCTGGGCACTGGGATCCAGATTCCTCACCCGGGTGCTTTAACCTCATGAGGATGAACTTGGGTAAATCACCCTGACCTCCCTGTAGCTCCCCCTTTGATGTCTTTTATGCTTCTATTCATTTCTTGGCAGAGTTTACGCCCTTCTCCGGCCCACAAGCATAAACACTGTTTACATTCCCTTTTGTAGGTAATTACGTGTGTGCAAATATCCAACAACCTGGGAACGAGGCTCACAACACAACCTTCATTTCAGCCAGGGCTGAGTTGTAAACACGGTCTGTAGGAGAGCCGCCCATTGGTGCACCTGCAGCAGGGCTAGCCCTCGGGTCACCTGCACAGCCTGGCGGTGACTTTCTGTAGTGTTTCTGGGAGCTGATGCATCAGAGGTATTAATTCACAGCTGAATTCTTCTGTCCATGGGTGGCATGTTGCTTACAGCATCAATCTCCCTCTCTAGTCTCAACCTTAGGTTTGAACAATGACCTGCTGGGCGACTTGAATTGGTGGTGGATCTTTCTGCAGCTGCGCTGGTTTCACCTGCTTGGCTCTTCGGCGTCAGATAGGCAACGCTATCCCCAAACAGATGGTATAAAGTGCAAAGAAGCAATGTGAGCTCCGGAGGTGTTCTCCGTGCTCTCTGCCTACCTCTGGCAGATTCTTCTGAGCTGCTTCTCACACACCTTCCCCATCACTTGAACCAGCAGCTGGTTCGTTTCTTTAAAACCGAGCAGTAAGACCCTCCCAAATAGAAGCCTTTCCTAGCTTCTCCACCTGCTGGTCAGTCCCCAAAGGTTCCTTGAGTCCAATTAGCCAGCTGCCTTTCCCACCCGCAGCCCCGCTGATGAAGGCCTGGCAGACTCCTCTCCTCACGTCCTGCCCAGCTTGCCGGTGCCCAGCCACTTTCCGCATCCAACTTCCCCACCCCAGGCAAGCTTGGGCCAAGCCCGGTCTGAGCTGAACCAACAGATTCAGAAATTTCTTATGAAATGGCCACAGCACTGGTTAGTAGAGTAGGAAGATAAGAACAGACCCACAAGGGGGACCCAATGGGACTTTGGGGACATTGAACCTTCTAGGTCCCTTCATCACCGTTTCTCCTCCATTTTCTTTCACCTTACCATTGAACGCTATGAGATTTCTTTTCCTCCAAAGATGAAAATATTACAGTTGAGTTTTCATTTCCTGTTTAACTTGTGATAAAAAAAAAAAAGAGGAAAAAAGAGCCCTGCAGATTTAACTAAGGATAAAAATAGCTCTGCTGTCTTAAAGTCATTAAGTGAACATAACGGGCTCTTTGTGATCTCGGGCTATCTGGAAGCTGGCATCTGTCACCACTCTCTGTCTTCAACCAGAGGCGAGGCAGTCGGAACAAGGATTCGGTGCTTAATGGAACCTTGAGAGTAAGTGTTCCCACGTGCTCATCAGACCTGCTACTCTCAGCAGCTGTCACCGAGTGGCTCCATAGCCCTCCGCCCACCACTGCTTTTTGCATAAACAGGTCTGCTGTGGTGCCCGGAGAGCCTTGCAAGGCTGAGTGTGCTGTGCCCCATCTGCACCGCGCATCCCTGGGCATGCCGCCCATCCACGGATCGGATCCCTGAGCGCGAGGCCCCATCCGCGCACCCGGGCACCTCTCACCTGGCTTTGCTGTGTCCGTTCCAGCACTCCTCGTCGTTGGAGGTTCCTGCTGTCACACGCTCATCCTTGCAGATGGTGTAGGGCAATGCTGACCAGACCTTTTTAGAGAGCTTCAGTTTCTCTTTTATGTCTGTGACCTGATCAAGAAACCAAGAAAGTATGTGAGGAGGCTTGTCAGGCTTTGCTTGCCTCTCTAGGTAAGGATGTGACAAACTGAAGTGAGACCGTGGCCCCTAAGCATAAACTACTGCTTTTAACAGAGAATGAAACCGTGCTATAGGATCCACTGCCCAGAAAGCTTCCACCTCTACTCCTCTCTTGCTCCTCCCAGAGAACACTCAGGCTGCTGGCTCCCTGTTCCCTCTTCTCTGGCCTGTCCTTTGAACTAAAAACCAAGGAAGTGTCCCACCTACTTTTGGGCCACTCTACTACAGAGAGTACCTGTTGTAAACACCCTAAATATAAGCTTTAGATCACATTTCCTGGATGTCAGATGAATGCCCCAAAACAGTGCACCAAGAGATAAAACACATTTCCCAATTGACTATCTGCGTCTGCAAAAGTCAATACTGTTGCTAGCTAAGCTGACTGTGGGTCGGTTAAACCACGCCTAGAAGCTTCATAAGGTAGAGTAGGCTGAGACTTGGAGACTCAGTGGGCACACACCTGAGACTCAGGCAACTCCCTGTCCCTCAAGCTCCAGATTCCTGACCTGGAGCACGTGCCACACTCCCCACATACGGACTTGTGACTTGTGGTCGCTAGGCCCAGAACAGAGTTCTCCATGCTAATGAGGTATCTAGAGGCCCCAAGGGCTTAGCCAATATGCTTCCCTTTCCAGACATTCTTTCCTGAAAGAGGTATTTAATCTAGGGTCAGACCCTGAGAAGTGGGGCTGTGTCTATTTTCTACATGAATGGTCAATAAACAGTCTAGAACAAGATGTGCCATGGGGAGACATGAAGAAGACATTTGACGATCCAGCCACAGCTTAATTCTCCCGTAGAAGGCCTCTCTGCATTCCCAGCCACAACTGCTACCAAACTAAGGACAATCAACACTGAGACAAGCCAGGGCTCTTCTCCCCCCCCCCCCCCGTTAGATGCTGTCCTTAGCCTGTGGGTCCCTGACTCCATTCTCAGCTCTTTATAGACTCCCAGTGATGCCTGGATGTCCAAGAGTCTGAGAACCCTACAGCATTGGCTTCGTAGCAGGTCCAGGAACCCCCAAACCAGACTGAGCTCAGACTGAGCTTTTCTACCCCTGGGTTAGTGTCCCAGGACTTCCCCCACAGCCTAGTACCCTCCTGGGATAAGCACAGTCAACCTCCGAGTGTGCCCTGAGATGGGTGGAACATGGACCCACAACGACCTCTGCTATGGTCCAGTCGACAGGCTCACATGGAATGTATTTGGGTGGCGAGTGGTAAACCTAGTCCACCATAAAATCTCTAGTTCCCAAAGATGAAAGCCAGTCTAACCGTGAGCAACCGATGTAGCTCTGAGGGCTGCAGGCACTTAGTACCTCAGTACTCAGTGCCAGTGTCAGAGGTTTTGTTTCACGCTTAGCTCTGACCTCCTTCCTGTCTGTGGGAGAGGGAGGGATAAGGATCTGATGTCATTTTGGCTCCATCAGGAACATCTGGTTCATTCATTTGATGCAGTGTCCCGATGGCCCGGCAATTCTTTACCAACACAGAGAAAATGCATAGGTGGATAACCTGTATCAGTTATAGGCTGCAGGGTCCTCACAAGTTAGCATTTTTGAAGTCCTGACCCAAAGCCCCCTAGAATGTGTCATGACTTTGAGGTAAGATCTTGAGAGAGGTGAGGAAGTAAGAGTGAGTCAATTTAAATGGACTGTACGCCAGGAGGGCTGGGTGGAAGATGTGGACACAGAGAGGGAGAGAGGCAGAGAGGCAAGGCACAGGAGGAGGTGGCCATGGAAGAGTCCAGAAGCCATCCTTTTCTATGGCCATAGTTTGTAAAGGAACCGATGAGCACACACTGGGATGGATATCAGGCTTCTTGCTTCCCTGGGTCTCAGTTAGACTCAGACTCAGTGCTGCATGCATCCAAGGTCCTCACAAGGACCTCATCACGTCTGGCCAGCAGCTTCCTTTGCCCTGTTTCACCACTATGCTTTCTGAGGTAGAGATAGGGTTGGAAACCATCTTATCCTCAGGGGTCGACAATGGTTAAGTGACTATTCACCCTGGTTTGCAACTTAGGGGACTCCGGATGCTAAAGTTATAGGAAAAGCCCCTGATAAAGCCCACGGTGAGTTAGTGATGTGTTCGAAACTGTGCTTGATAAATGTTCAGCGAGATGCTGGTTTTAATTATCCTATTCTGTTCTGATTTCATAAACAATGTTACAAACGCTACATACATGTGGGTCACAGTAAAGGCTGCTGTGACACATGGGGCTGTCCCTGGCTATGTGAGGAGCCCTTCATGAAGATGGGGTGTGGAGCTTCCCTGATTTGCTCACTGTGCCCCGTTTTACAATCAGGGCATGTTCTCTCTGGCACTTTGGTAACTGAACGTTTTCATTGTGCAATTCAAGAAGATAACAGCAAAGGAACATCGAGAAATGTAAATGGTGTTTTAACATTCTGCACGAGCACCAGGAGATTCACCTGCAGCCTGCAACATCGAGGCACACAGCTGAACAAATGGACACTATTAGCCACCGGGAAAGGACACGCCTGTAATGGGAAAGAACGTGCCTGTGATTTTAAAAGATGCAGGAATGGCTGGAGTTTATGTCCAAACTCAGGAAAGTCTTTCAGTTTTCACATTGTTTAGAAAGACTTGTCTGATCCCACCCGCTGTTTTGATCTCTGAATAACACACGTTACTGCTCTGCAAGAGCTCCAAGCTGTCTGTTTTGTTTTCTTGGAACGTAAGAGCATGGGGCTGTGAGGTAAGCTTTATGTTACGAGTTCTCCAGAACGCATGTTTTATGGATGGTCACACCAATCTGACTCATTCCATGACACAAACTCGATGCAGACAGAGGCCGGTGGTCATTATAAAAGCTCCCTCTCTTGCTTTGCATCCCAGACGAGCTATTTTTGGATTCATTCTCACAACTCTCCTAAGGACCAGAGACCCAGCATCACAGGACAAATGTTGTCGTGACAGTATGAATGTTCTTGCCTATACTTATTGACATTCTGAAGAATCGGCTTGTCATTCCATAGGAACTTGATCCAAATATATACAGTTGGGATTCACAGAGAAAACCCAAGCCATCTTTTGGTACTTATCTGGAGTTTGGTTTTGACACTTTGAACTCCTACCTTTCAAGAGTTATATCTTTTAGTTTAAGGCTCATGAAAATGTCCATGGAAAGCCGGCATGGGAAGACTGTGGAGCCGTTCCAGCCTAATGGCACTCAGGAACCCACAGCATAGAGAGGAAGGCCTAAGGCAGAATAATTGGGAAAGGCAGAGACATGTAAAACCAAGGGATAGATAGAAAGAACATCCAGCCTCTTTCATTTGATGGTCTTGCTTAGAAAATAAGCTCGCCAGAATGTTTAACTTGAATCTCATGAAATTTCTGACTTAACTTCCAATTTGCAGCAGGCACTGGGGATAGAAGAAGAAACTGAACAGGAGCATAAATAAATGATCAGACACATCTGGTGAATGAGACATTACATAAGACAACTGGTCTCCACTCTTCAAAAGAGCACAAGTAAATAAATAAATCAATAAAGGCAGGAAGACTGTTCTAGATGAAAAGAAACTCCACGAAACATCCCAACCAAATGTCATATGGAAGTCGTTGCTGCTGTCTTAGATCGGGAGACAGGTATCCAGTTGTAGGAGAGTGTTGAGATAATGGGGCAATTTTGAATATAGGAGAGATACAAGTTGAGAATACTGAAGTACTGCTAATTTTCTCAAGTGTAGTAATGATCACGAGTCTGTGAGGAATCTCTTTCAAGAGACTCACGCTGAGATATTTAGGGATAAGATGTCCTTATGACTTTTATTTATTTGAAAAGAGCAAACAAAGCCAAAGCCCTCAGTCATGATTGAATCTGTTAGAGGAGGATGCTAGCGTTGATCTTCTTTGTAGTCATTTCAGAAGTGTTTGAAAAAGTAAAAGTGCTGAAACATTTCGGGGAAGTAAAGTCGTCTTGTCAGGAGTGCAGCTGTTCGGAACGTACCTAGCAGTCACCGGCTCAGTATGTGGTAAGAGCTCTCAAGCCGCTAAACCTCTCAAACCAAGCTGCACAACTTCTTCCTGCTAAACTATTGTTGCCACACCCTGGACACAACAGGGACACAGAAGCCTTGAGCAGCTAAAGCGATCTTGTCATGTATTTAGTAAGTGGTAGAGACATAGTTTTACATGTAGACTTTGGAACGGTTGCTCTTAAACTACCTTGCTCACAGGTGTCATTGCTGGCTGTCTTGGCCTCCCAGCCTCTGGCACTGGTGCTGAGACTTCTGTGTGTGTCTCTGTGGATGCAGGAGTGAATCACTGTGATTCAGGATGAAAACACGGACACTCATGTTTCCGCTTTTAAAATATAAAAATGGAAGAGGAATTAAGCGCTTCTAGTATTCCATGTAGAGTTAATACTTCAGCCAGGCTGTGTGGAGACAGACTGTTTTTCAGCTGTAATATGAACAGGTAAATCTTCCGCAATAGGAAGTGTGGCACTGGGACACTGTATGTGTGGGCCCATGCATGTATGGATGAGATTCTGAGGTTTTCATGAACTCATTAAGTGGCAGGGTGAGTTAAAAATATCTTTTGAAGGGAAACTTTGGGTTTCTTTCAGACAATGAGAGCACAGGAGAAGAATCGATGGTAGGCTGAATACAGAAGAACTCCCTTGGTCATGAATTGGTTCTGAGACCCTTATGGATATCCCAGACTCTGCACAACACTAAGTCATGTCTGTGTGTGTGTGTGTGTGTGTGTGTGTTACCTATGCATACCTATGATACACTGGATATTACAGTGTACCATTAGATACTGGATATTACAGTGTACC